TGATGATGATGATGATGATGATGATGATGATGATGATGATGATGATGATGATGATGATGATGATGATGATGATGATGATGATGATGATGATGATGATGATGACGACGACGACGACGATGATGATGATGATGATGATGATGCTGATGATGATGATGCTGATCAAGGTGACGTGATGATGATGATGATGGTTGATGATGATGATGATGATGGTTGATGATGATGATGATGATGATGATGATGATGATGATGATGATTCTTACATATCGACTAGTGGTGATGGTTGTGATTTCTCATATGGGGAAGCTGGCCCAGGGGCCCCAGGGCCGCAGCTCACCAGGGGCACCCGGGGTCCCTTCAGGGCCCCCTCGTCTCCCGGAGCCTTCCGGGAGTCTCCCCTGGGCTCCCCGGGAAGGGTCCCGAGCTCTGCAGAAACTCCAAAGGGCCCCAAGACGTTTCCAATATGCCCACGTGCTTCCCCGCGAGGTTCCTGGCGGTACAAGGGGGGCCGACGGCCCCAAGAGGCGGCCGGAGGGGACCTCCCAAGGGGCAAACCAGTCGCAAACCAACGGGATTCCCATCATTTCCTGGACCTCTCATCTGATGACGAAATGTAGCTCCAAGATGGCCTCGGAGCCCCAAAGGGTTCCAAAGGTCGCCCCGCGGTTGCGCCACGGTGGCCCAGGACTGCCCCGCAAGAGCTCCACGAGAGCCGACCACGGCCTCCAGAGGAGCCCCAGACGGCCCAAGAGGGCCCCAAGACGGTCTGAAGAGCCCAGGGCTCCCCAGAAGGGTCCCAGCGCTAATTGCAGGGGGGGCCCAAGACGGTCCCAGGAGGCCGCCGAGGGCCCGCACAGGACCTCCGATGGGGCCAAACCAGTCAAGAAATGGTCAATCTTTACTCTGGAGTGCTCGCTTGCTCACGGGATTGTAGCTTTAAGTCGGGTCTGTCCCTCTACAGGAGGAATATCCAGAAATAGTTTAAAGAAAGTCTGGGGACTATCTTTAACCTTTTTTTTGGGGGGGGGCATTTTGGAGTATTTTTTGAATCTGTTTATTTTTCCTCTCAAATCCTCCTGTAGGGGGACACGCCCGACTGAATCGTAGCTCCAGGATGGCCTCGGGGCCCCCAAAGGTCCCCGAGATCGCCCCCCTGCGGCCCCGTGATGGCGCAGGGCTGCCCCGCGAGAGCTCCAGGAGAGCCGGCGACGGTCTCCTGTGGAGTCCCACGCGGCCCCAAGAGGGCTTCCATATTGTCCCAAGAGCCCCCCCAGGCACAGGCTCCCCCAGGAGGCTCCCAGAATTACAAAGAGGTCCCAAGAGGGCCCCAAGACGGCCTCAAGAGGTCGCTGGCGCGCGACGGTTCTAGGAAAGTGATGATGACGAGCAAAACGACGATAATGATTTTGGTTGTGATGGTTGTGATGGTTGTGATGGTTGTGATGGTGGTGGCGGTAGGAGGAGGAGGAGGAGGAGGAGGAGGAGGAGGAGGAGGAGGAGGAGGAGGAGGAGGCGACCGGTTGTTACTGTGGCCCGTTGGGTGTTAGTGTGGCCCGTTGGGTGTTAGTGTGGCCCGTCGCGCGGCGGGATGGGAGTTACTGTGGCCCGCGCAGGCCGCTCAATGAAAAGTAATATGTAAAGGTATCTCATGTTAGATCTGGAGAGATTCTTAAGAGTGTGGCCCGTCGCGCGGCGGGATGGGAGTTACTGTGGCTCAATGCCACTGCGCAACGGGAATGCACTCCCGCGCAGGCAAAAGTGGCCACAGTAACTCCCACCTGGAACCAACGTGGTAGTAGTGCTGTGTTAGTGGTGTGGTGGTCGCTGTGCTGTGTTAGTGGTGTGGTGTTGGTAATGTTGTGTTAGTGGTGTGGTGTTGGTAGTGGCTGGTTGTGCTGTATGCTGTGTTTGTGGTGTGGTGTTGGTAGTGGTGTGCTGTGTTAGTGGTGTGGTGTTGGTAGTGTTTTGCTAGTGGTGTGGTGTTGGTAGTGTTGTTGAGTTGTTAGTAGGTAGTAGTGTTGTGGTAGTGGCGGTGGTGCTGTGGTAGTGGTGTTGTGGTAGCGGTGTTGTGCTTGTGGTATTGTGGTAGTGGTGTAGTGGTGTTGTGGTAGCGGTGTTGTGGTACTGGTATGGTGGTAGTAGTGCTGTAGTGTGGTGTAGTAGTAGTAGTAGTAGTAGTAGTAGTAGTAGTAGTAGTAGTAGTAGTAGTAGTAGTAGTAGTAGTCGTTGTCGTTGTCGTTGTCGTTGTCGTAGTCGTAGTCGTAGTCGTAGTCGTAGTCGTAGTCGAAGTCGAAGTTGAAGTAGTAGTAGTCGAAGTCGAAGTAGTAGTAGTAGTAGTAGTAGTAGTAGTAGTAGTAGTAGTAGTAGTAATAATAGTGGTAGTAGTCGTAGTCGTAGTCGTAGTATTTCGGAGAGCCCAAGACGCTCTTCGGAGAGCCCAGGAAGCGCTTCGGATGCCCCAAGAAGCTCTTCGGAGGCCCCACGAAGCTCTTCGGAGAGCCCAAGAGTCTCTTATGCGACTGCAAGAAGGTCTTCGGCGGCTCCAAGAGGCTTTTCGGAGAGCACCAGAGGCTCTTCCGAGAGGCTCTTCGGTGAAGGGGGGGGGGGGGCGGAGCCTTTTTTGCCCCCCCCCCCCCCCCCCCCCTTCACCGTACTCGATAATTAATACACTCCGGAGGACCCCTGGCCATACTAACACCCACCGGGCCGCAGCAACAACCAACGGGCCGCAGTAACACCTTATCTAGGAGGAGGAGGAGGAGGAGGAGGAGGAGGAGGAGGAGGAGGAGGAGGAGGAGGAGGAGGAGGGGGAGGGGGATGGTGGTGGTGATGATGGTGATTATGAGGCGTTGAATTGTTCTCTTCCCCCCTCCCCCCCGCGGCAGCGCGGCCAGCGGGCTCCCTCCAGCCTTCCTCTCCCCTCCCCTCGCGGCGTGAGCTTGTTTGAGCGGGCGGCCCGCTGGCGCGAGGGCTCTCCGGCGGAGGGCCGGCCATGGCCGCGAGAGCGGGCGCCCCTCCGCAGGACTCGAAGAAATAGCGCCACGAACATGAACTTGTGGCGCTCCGCGCGGATGTTTTGGATCCGCGCTGGGCCCCCCCTGGCGGCGCCTCCGGCGCCGCCCCTGGCGCGCTCCGCGCGCCAGGGAGGGGGGTCCGGCGCAGATCCAAGAGATCCGCGCGGAGCGCTAAAAGTTTATGTTTATAGTGGCTTTTCTTCTGCTAAGGATGGCATCCTGGCGGACGCTGTCGACGTATCTTCGGAGGCTGAGAGATTGCCACCAGCACCAATCTCGGCGGCTTCCCTCCACCGAGGGCGGGCGATCCCGACCTCGGTGATGGTGTTGATGTTTGGGCTTCCCAGGTGGCCGAAAGGTGATACCAAAAGTTAGGATCAGCTTGCCCTGGTGGAGGCAGCCCCGTTGGTGCTCATTTCCAAGCCTCTGATATCTCGAGGGAGACAAGATGGACTGAACATGAACTTTTGACGGTCCGCGCGGATTTCTCGGATCTGCGCCAGACCCCCCGCTGGCGGCGCTTCCGGCGCTGCCCCCGCGCTCCGCGCGCCAGGGAGGGGGTCCAGCGCAGATCCACGAGATCCGCGCAAACCGTCAAAGATTTATGTCCATGCCGTATTTCCCCCTCTGCTATCCCCGACTGGTCGACGGTCCCCTAGCCCAGACCGGATGCCGACGGAGACGCTGTCAGCGTACACGCCGTTCGTGATCGGGATCGCGGGGGGCACCGCCAGCGGCAAGACGACTGTGTGCAGGACGATCACGCAGGCCCTCGGTGACCAGCAGGTAGTGCTGCTGGGCTTGGACGAGTTCTACAGGGACCTGACCCCCGAAGAGACGGCGAATATTTCGGATGTAAACTTCGACGAGCCGAGTGCCTTCGACTTCGCGACTCTTGTCGAGTGCCTGGATGCCCTCAGGCGGTGCGAAGCCACGGACGTGCCCGTGTACGACTTCGTCACCAGCAAGAGGAGTCATGACAAGTCGAGGAGGGTGAATCCGGCACACGTCATTGTGGTTGAAGGCATCCTGGCCCTCGCCAGCCCCGAGATCGTGGAGCGTTGCAACATGAAGATATCCGGCTGCCTGCGGCATGCCCCGCCGCCGTTCCAGCGCAGCACCACAGCGAGGCGGAGACTTGGTTGAAGACCGCCCGTTGCAGTTCTGTGTCTTGTCTGAACTGGTGCCCTGTCTGAGCGCCCCTCCTTGGCGTCCACAGCCTCGTCCTTCTTCTCTTCCTTCCTCCTCCTTCCCCCCTCCTCCCCCTCTCCTCCCTTCCCCTTCTCCCTCCCCCTCCTCCCCTTTGTCGTAATTTTTTGAATGTGTCTCGCAGCCACGATGCACGCTTGCATTTTCTAAGAGGCCAGGGCTTCCCCCCCGTATTGTCTCAGTTAGGCCTCGACGGTTGTCCGCAGAGGTGGTTCGCTTGTTCGTTCGTCCCCCCCTCCCCCTCCTCTTTTGAAGCATCCTGGCGTCCTCTTTGGGGGGCATCTCTGGGGCCTCGTCGGGCCCTCTGTGCCTCTTGGGGGGCCTGTTGGGGGCGACGGTCTCACCGAGTCGGTTGAGCTATCTTGGAAGCGCATGGGCTTGTCTTTTTGGGCTGCCTTGGTGGTTCTTGAGGCGGTCCTCGGGCCTTCTTGGGGCTGTGCTGCTGTCTTCGTCTCGTCTTGGGCCGTCTGGGCTTCTCGTTGCTCTCCGAAGATCTCCCGGGTCGAGGTGGTCTGGAGCCGAGACGCCTCGGGAGCAAGCGGCACATGCTCTCCCTGCCCCTGGTTTCTGCCATGCTTTTTGTTGCCTCTCTGGAGCTCTCGCATCAACGCAGCTCGCATCCGAACCGCGAGCATTTTGGCCCGCGAGCCACCTCGAGCGGTGAGCTTTTAGCGGAAGAGGCTCGCTCTCGCCCTGCAGATCAACAAAAACACCTCGAGCGGCGTGCGTCGCAGCCGCCGTGCCTCGCACTCCGCCATCGCGAGAAGCAGGACTTTTTTTTTGCGAGTGGGGGGGAGGGGCGCGGCGGCCCCTGGCAGGGGACCTGCAGAGACCCTGCGGGACGCCCGACGGCATTCCGTCGGCGGTGCGCCGAGGGGAAAGGGTTGAGTCGGGCGTGTTCCTCTGCGGGAGGAGTGTTCAGTGACACCAGGGAAGAGCCCCAGTCAGTGGATGGCTTTCGCTGAGGACATCGACCGGGAGCCCGGGAGCCCGGGAACCCAGAACCAACCGAAATCGGCCCGGAACCTATATCCGGAAACCTGGGAACCCGGAACCGGCAACTCGGGAACCCAGCCTGCCACCAAAATCGGCGGGAATTTTTCGGCAAATCTTTCAACTTCCGCTAGGACCCCTTCAGTGCAAGCACTGATTGGGGAAAAATAGGCAAACGATAGTCTTGGGACGATTTTTCTATAATTTTGGGTCCATTTTCGAGTATTTTTAATGTTTCTAACTCTTCCTTCAAAATCTGCCTGGAGGGATACATGCCCGACCTAAGGCAAGGGGAGAGAGGTGGGCGGGCCTCTGGGAAGGCATTGGGGCCTCCGAGAGGCACTCTCGCCCTGCGAGAGGCCCTCCGAGGCTTCTGAGGAGGCCTCTCGGAAGGCGCACCTTCGGGCTGCCCAGGGACGCGTCCTGGCAGGTCCCTTCGGGTTGCTCGGGGAAGCTCCCTGCAAGGCAGTTCTGGGCGCCTCAGGGAACCGTCCTGGTCGGTGGCTAGGGGCGACTCGCGGAGACGTACAGGCTTTTGGCGATCGTGTCGGATGAAGGGTGGGACCGGGAAGGGTAGGGGTTCTGCTCGGAAACTGGAGCATATACATTACCAGTGGCGGGCTGTTTTTCAATCCCATGATTTTTGTAGGGTCGGGGACGACATCGGGGCGGTGTGGTGTACACTTTTACCCCGCTTTCCCGAGGAAGCAACGAAAAATGTATACACCAGGATCCCGTACAAACCAGGATCCGCCTTCCTGTGCGAGTTTCAGTGCAGGGCCCGAAAAAGCGTTGGTGTATAGAGTTCGGTTCCCTATCTGCGAGCATTGATGCACGCAGCCGGCTTCAGCGCCGCCGCGTGCCCCCTCTTCGATGCCTGGGCACCCCCCGTGCGGGGAAGACCAGCTGCACGTGTAGCCGATGCGCTTCCGGCTGGCTCTCCTGCTTCCGCCCTGGCCCCCTCTTCGTCCAATTCCCTGTGCTGTCCCCCCCCCCTTCGCTCGCCCCCTCTCGTGTTCGCCCGCTTTCGTCCGGCTCCCTCTGCTTCGGAGGTGGATAGACCTCCTACCCTGACACGTCGATTAAGGAACTGGCCGTTTTCGGTTCGCGAGAGGGCGTCGCGGCCGTCGTTTTTGCGGTTTCAGGTCCGTCGGTTTCGGTCCCAGGCCGTTTTCATTAAGGGGAGGTTTACTAAAGGGAGGTTTGTCCACCGCCGACTGCTGTCCCCTCCCCCCCCCCTCCCGCATGCGTCCGCTTTTCGAGGGAATCCCCTCCTGCCGCCTTCTCAGACAAGGCCGCCTCCCTCGCCCCTCCCCTCAAAAGCAACGGCAGGGTCCAGTCGAGCGTGTCCCTCTACAGGAGGAGTGTTCAAGGTACTATTTTTCAGTTGTCTTCCAAAAGCCGGCCGCCTGTATGAGGACATGCCCAACCTACAGGTTGGGTGGGGGGGGGAGGGCTCAGAGGGGGGATGCATCACCCCCCCAACGCCAATTGATACATAGCCCATCCCCACGCAGGACCGTGCGGCTATCGAAGGAACATCCCCGATCCATGCGAGATCGATGCTTTTCCCCCTGAGCAGGTCCCCAGAAGGTTTTCAGGTCATAACTCGGGCCTCAGGCGGCCGTTCGGGACGATCCTTGCACCCCGGGAACGCTCTCGTCGTCGAGGTGCAGCCGCTGGAAAGTTGCCCCTGGCGGGAATGCCTCCGAGAACCGACGACAGCGTCCGAGAACCACAGACCTCGAACCCCTCGTCCTTCGAGACTTCCACGTGGTCCCTCGTGCCCGCCGCCGGCTCCGACGCTCCCCATCCGTGCGGGCGAGGGGGCGGATTCGTGGACACGGACGATGACGTGCGCCTGGTGCGGCGAATCAAGCGCGACACGGTGGAGCGCGGCCGCAACGTCGAGGGCGTCCTGGCCCAGTATCTGCGGTCTGCTTGGCAGCAAAGCATGGGAGCCCTGCATGTCCTCGGGGTTCCTTCTCTGGAGTGCATCCGCGTGCGCTGGCGTGTGGTAATGGATGAGAGCGCGCCGACGTAGCGCCGATTCGCATCAATTCAGCGTCGGCTAGCATCGACTTAGCGTCGATCCGCGTCGAGAAGCGTCCGTTAGCGTCGCTTCGCGAGAGCCAGCAATATGGCATGGGAGGCTCCCATGAGTTGCCACCGAAGGTTTGTGAAGCCGGCCTTCGAGAGGTACGTGCTGCCTAGCAGGCTCAAGGCCGACATTTCGAAGAGCACAGAACGTCAGAATCATGCTCCTTCGGAGGTCCGCGCTGATTTGTCGGATCTGCGCCTGAACCCCCTGGCGGCGCCTCTGGCGCGCTCCGCGCGCCTAGGAAGGGGGGATCCAGCTCGGATCCAAGAAATCCGCGCGGAGTTCCTCAAGTTCATGTTTGTGCCGTTCTTCGCTCTTCTAAAATCATCATACCCTGGAGGGACAACAATCCCGTTGCCACGGAGCTGGTCACGCAGCACATACGGTCGAAGCTGCAGGTCCAGGACCTCCGGCGGATCTACTCCAACCTGCACCTGCTGAAAAGCACTATGCAGACGCGGGGCATGCACACGAAGATCCGGTGCCGGTCGACGCCACGGAGCGACTTCGTCTTCTATGCGGACCGGTTGATCCGATTGGTCGTGGAGATGGGGCTGGGTCAGCTGCCCTTCACGGAATCCACCGTCCAGACCCCGTCGGGGGACTCCTACCATGGCGTCGAGTTCTGCCGGAATATATGCGGCGTCTCGATGATCAGGTCGGGCGAGGCGATGGAGAACGCATTGCGCGCCTGCTGCCTGGGCATAAAGCTCGGCAAGATCCTCATCCATCGGAGTGGCGATAACGGCTCGAGCATCGCGTACGAGAAGCTGCCCCACGACATTGCCCAGCGGCAAGTCTTGCTGATGGACCCAATCTTGGCCACCGGCTCCTGCGCCGTCCGGGCCATCGAGCAACTCATCAAGCGCCGCGGGGTCGAGGAGGACAAGATCATCCTGGACAGCCGACGTCTCGACTTGTGTGAGACGTGGGCCCTCGGTCCTCTCGGCCCCCCCCTCGCTGGTGCCAGTTTCCATCCCGAGTTGCCTTTTGAAGGCCCTGGGGCCCGAAACCAGCTTCCAGGATCTCGAATTACAGCTGCCGTCCTTGATTTTTACGAGTCGCCCGGGGCTTGGTTGGGTCCCATTGTCAGACGTATCAGAGATCGGCGTTTTGACCCTGCCTCTCGTCGGTTGCATCCAAAGGTGGTCGTTTTCTCGTTCATTGTTTTGCCGATCGGCGCGGGCCCTCGCACCCCCTTTGGAGTAGGTTTTGGCTGTTTTTGGCGCCTGTTTCGAGCAGGCGGAGTCTCCCGCATAGGACGCACGGTTGCAAGCAGTCGCATCAAGCAGAGGTTTGGAGCCAGACCCCCCCCTCCATCCCAATGTCGAAGCGCCGAGTAAGAACACGTTCGCGAGAGAGGGGTGGGGACATGGTGTGCGTTGATCTCACGGCTTGGGCCGGGATCCCTCTCAGATTCCCTGGCGCCCCCCCCCCCCCAGGCCCCCGCTCCTGGCCCCCGGCCCCCGCTCCTCCAGGCACCCTCTTTCCTCACATCCCCTGGCCCCCACTCCTCGGCGCGCACTCCTGGGGCCACGATGCCCCCCCCCCCTCTTCTTGGCCCCCCCTCCCTCTTCGGCGCACCCCCCTATCTCGAGGTGCCTTCGGCCGTGGCCACGAGGAGCTTTCCCCCCCCCCGCTCCCCCCCCCCCTTGGAGGGCCAGCAGGGCGCAGGGCGGCCCGGAGACGTCCGAGAGCTCTGGCCCCCGATCCTCGCTCTCTTCGAGCCGTCGGGTGTCCGGAGTCCTCCTCACGCTGATCGCCGCACCCCGCGGCATCCACAGGCCAAGCGGCAAGAAAAACACGTCGGCATCACGCGTCGGAGGCCCGCGCAGGTGTCTCGGGTCGTCGTTGGCCTCGACGCCCCTTGGCGCGCTCCGCGCGCCATGGGCGGCGCCTCTATTTCTGGTCCAGCGTCGCTCTCAGAATCGGGGGACGTCATCTGACCACACCGATCCTGGATTGGCCGATCCTGAGCCCAGGATTTGTGCCTACGCCTCCCTGGCCAAGCAAGCTGGGAGGGCTTCTACACCGACCCTGTGCCCTGGCAGGCCCGGCCAAGATCGGTGAGATGTCCAGTGGACGTCCTCCAAAACACGCCCGCGCGGACTTCCGCAAGGTGATCGTTTTCTTATTCAAAGTTTTGCCGATCGGCGTGGGCCCTCGCGCCCCCCCCCCCCCTGGAGCAGACTTAGCTGTTTTTGGCGCCTGTTTCGAGCAGGCGGGGTCTCCCCCCAGAGAACTAACAGTTGCAAACAGCCGCATTAAGCAGAGGTTTGGAGCCAGACCCCCCTCCTCCCCCCCCCTTCCGCCCAATGTCGAAACGCCGAATAAGAAAACGTTTACAATTTTATGTGTTTCTGGTATGTGCGGGCCGTGACGTGGCGATGCGGCGTCGACCCCACCGCTGGCGTTCAAACAGTTGAACTCCGCTGGTGGCCTGGAATCTTGCCTCGTGAAGCATCGGGACGCTGCGGTGGTTCCAGGTTGAAGGATCCACGCGGTGTCAGGAACCATCGGAGGTTGATAGAGCTCCCATCTTGCCAGGGCGATTCGCGACTTGCCTTTTTCGGTTCCCGAGGGTGCGTGTCGCCCGTATTTTTTTGCGGACCTGCGCGCGCCAGATTTGGTCCTGGGTTGTTATCAAGAAGCCTTCGTTTGGAGGGGTGCTCTGTGGGAGAGTTTCTTCTATGAGGTAATCCTGGAAGCCTCGCTCGGCACGCACTGGTTGCATCACCTAGTCCTCACGTCTGCCACGCGACAGACGCATGGGACGACCTTCGCGTGGCCACGTGCCGACGCAGCTCCGACGCAACTCCGACGCGGGATCCGATGCAGGCCGGGTCTGGAGCCTGGAGCTGCCGCGCGAGGCCTCCAAGCCCTGCCTCGTGGGGTTCGGTCGACCCGAGGAGGAGGAGGAGGAGGAGGAGGAGGAGGAGGAGGAGGAGGAGGAGGAGGAGGAGGAGGAGGAGGAGGAGGAGGATCGTGGGCGGAGAGCACCTCTGTGCCCACGGCCTCGCGGGCCGAGCCCCTGGGCCGCTCCCCCCGCGGTGGACGCGGGGCACCACCCCTTCGCGGCCGCCCCGCGCAGAGAGCCTCCGTGCGACCGCGCGCATCCACGGGGCCGCGCCCCGGCCTCCGGGCAGCGGACGGCGCGGATAGTTCTAATTCGGAGGTGGACAGACCTCCTAACCCTGGCACGCCGATTCAGGAATCGGCCGTTGTCGGTTCGCGAGAGGGCGTCGCGGCCGTCGTTTCTGCGGGTCCAGGCAGCGAGGGCGCGGATAATTCGGAGGTGGGCAGACCTCCCACCCTTCGGAGGGCACCAACGATACACCAACACCGATCCTGGCCCAGGATCGCCCTGGGCCCAGGATCGGTGTGTATGCCTTCTTGCCCAAGGCAGGAGGGCGTATATACACCGATCCTGGGCCCAGGGTGATCCTGGCCAGGATCGGTGTTGGTGTATAGTTGGTGCCCTCCTAACCCTGGCACGTCGATTCAGGAATCGGCCGTTGTCGGTTCGCGAGAGGGCGTCGCGGCCGTCGTTTCTGCGGGTCCAGGTCCGTCGGTTTCGGTCCCGGGCCGTTTTCACCGAGGGGAGGTTTACCAAAGGGAGGTTTGTCCACCGCCGAGGATAGGGATACGTCCGCCGCTCGTGACCGAAGCCAGCGCCGCCGTCGCCACGACACGAGCCTGCCGCGTGTGCCGTCCCTGCCGCCCCTCTGGCAGGGTCTGCGCCCGGTTCCCGAAGCTGCAGGCCCCCGCCCCCCGCCCTCGGCCTCGGCTCGGCTGGCCGGCCTGCGCGGCCTGGCCGCTGCGCTCCTCTGCCAGCCGGCCAGCCCATTGTCGTCGCCGACGTCGGCGCCGCCGCCGCCGCCGCCGCCGCCGCCGTCGTCGTCGTCGCCGTCGTCGTCGTCGTCGTCGTCGTCGTCGTCGTCGTCGTCAGCGGCGTCAGCGGCGTCGTCGTCAGCGGCGTCGTCGTCGTCGTCGTCGTCGTCGTCGTCGTTAACGTCGTCACCGCCGCCGCCGCCGCCCGTCGGGGGCGGGGAGGATGAGAAGCATGATGAGAAGGATGACGATGAGGACGGGAAAAGCCTAGAGGGTTTTGGGGTCCAGGAGGAGTAGGAGGAAGAGGAGGAGGAGGAGGAGGAGGAGGAGGAGGAGGAGGAAGGAGAGGGGAGGAGGAGGAGGAGGAGGAGGAGGGGGGGAGGAGGAGGAGGAGGAGGAGGAGGAGGGGAGGAGGAGGAGGGGAGGAGGCGGAGGAGGCAGAGGAGGATGCGAAGGAGGAGGAGGAGGAGGAGGAGGAGAAGGAGGAGGAGGAGGACGAGGAGGAAAAAGAAGAAGAGGAATAAGCATAATCATATAATACTTACATTCGGAATTATACGAATGATATTTATACTGCGAAAAAACAATCATACTAATCCGAGTAATATTACGAATCAGAAAAAGCATACTACCAACAATAAGACCATCACCTATCAACTAAGACGAACACTAATACGATTGGTCTAAGAGGATAGTGATGCTACGAGCATTAATAATAAGACGAGCGCGAATACTAATATCATACATCATAATGAGACGAATCCTAATAATACTAAGAGGACTAAAGGCGCGCACGCTACTACTATCAAGAAGAACAAGAAGACGAATACTCATAATAAGACGACTACTACGAAGAAGAGCAGGATGAGGAGCAGGAGGAGGGGAAGGAGGATGGTGAGCAGACATGCTGGGGCCTCGTAGGGGTCTCTTTTTAGCCTCTTGGGGGCCCTTGGAACGTCTTGGGTGTCATCTTTGGGGTATTCCGGAGAGGTTCGATCGAAGAAGGGGGGGTATTTAATTAGCGGCCTTGGGTCGCTCTTGCAGCGCCCTTGGGCGCTCTTGGGGCCGTGTTGGGGCCCTCTTGGGCTCCTCCTGGGGCTCTCTTGGGCCTTCTAGGAGCCATCCTGAGATTTTGGAGGGCCGTCGAAAGCGCACATGCGAGAAGGCGAAGCACATGGATTTCCCGCGGTCGTTTGAAGGATTTTGTCCTCTTATCTGCTTCCTTGAGAGACTTCGTGGCCTCTTTGAGCCGTTCTGGGGCGGCCTTGAGGCCTCTCGGAGCATGCTGGGAGCCATATTGAGCTATCCTGAGCCATTGTGAGTCATCTTGGAGGTCGTTCTTGGGACGGTCGAATTGGGTACGCAAAGATGAGGTGCGATGCCCAACAGCAGTTCTTGTTCATTTTGAACAGGACTCGCTGTCCGCGCCGCCGCGGACGTCGCTCATTGAAGACAAGAAGCCGCCCGCCCAACAGCGGTCGCTGTCTATTTTGGACTGTTGGGCGTTGTGCCCGTTTTCTCCGCACCCATTTCGGGCGCCCAACGTCTTGGGCTCTCTGAGGCCCTTTTGGAGCCACATTGGGCCAAACAAGGCGCTCCGACTACCCGCGGGACGCCCCGTCCAGGTCAAGGGGAGGGGCTAGGAGGAGGGGTCAAACGACCGCAAGCCGCAAGCCTTGTCGCTCGCTCCCACCCGCCCTCCCACTACATAAGTAGTGCCCGAGTCTCAGCATAGGCAGGGGCCGCCATCGATAACAATTGGGAATCAATGCAGACGCCAGCCAGGTGCGCGATGCCCGCGAGGTGCGCCGTACGTGCGAGGTGCGCCACTCGCACCTCGTGCGCCACATTGGGCACTATGTCGACCGCCCCACAATCCCTTTCAAACACCGATGCAAAATGACGTGGGGGGGTGCGAGCATTGCGCAGTGTGTGTGTGTGGGTGTGCACCTGCAATCATACGGCATTTGTTTTTAATAGAGATGTAGCCTGCGCGCAGCAGGCAGTATGCGGCCCCACCCGCCGTCACTGGCAAAGTGAATCTTCTGGTGGTCTTTGCAGAGTAGCCTGCA